ACAATTAGCGTCAAATCGTTTACGAACTCGTTTACAACATTACGATGAACCTGTTATTGAATATTATACTGATATTATGAAATTATGTAAGTTAGTTGATCCTACTATGACTGATGCATCAAAACTTGATCACCTATATCACGGTTTAAAACATTCATTAATGAAGGAAGTTTTACGTCAAACTCCACGAACGCCATCAAACTTTTTAGAACATGCACAACGCGAAGAAACTTTGGATCGTCTTGTTACTACGTCTGTTCATCATACCAATGATGTCATTGATACCAATACACCTCATAATGCACCACTTCATCCTGCACCACCAATTACGCCCATATGGCACCAAACTTCTCCGAACACGTCTTATGCTTGGCCTCCACCACGACCAACCCAGTATCAGCGATCATCATATCCTTCAAATTATCAGCAATCATCATATCCTTCAAATTATCAGCAATCATCATATCCTTCAAATTATCACCGATCATCATATCCTTCAAATTATCAGCAATCATCACCACATAATAATCCTTATATTTCCAACACATCGTTTAATGATTCATATCCTCATCGACGTTCTGTACAATGTTATCGTTGTCACAAGTTGGGCCATATTGCCCGTGATTGCCGAATGGCAAAAAACTATTAAGGGAGTCAAATGATGGTAGTGACTCCCACCCCTCACAACCATCGTTATCTTACTCATCCACAACTCCTGCCTATTCATCAACCAAATTCACAACATATTATCGGCCCACCTCGTCTTATTATTCCTCTATTCGTAAACCTCAACCAATTAATTATTATTTCAAACAACGTATCGTCAATAAAAATACTATCACACCTAATCCTTCATTAATTTTTATTAACACTCTTATCAATGGCAAACCCATACGAGCTATGATCGATACGGGCGCTTCTCATTCATTTATTACACAATGTGCATTACGTACACTATCCTATTTCCGATTGCCATCGTGTGAACGTACCGCCCAATTAGGTGATGGTCAAACAACACTTAAAATAGTTGGTGAAATTCAGCTGTTCCTACAATTTGATCAAGTTTTTACACCTGTCAATGCTCTCGTCACTCAAACCATGAACACTGATTTTATACTTGGTGGTGATTGGTGTACAAAAAATAAAGTAAAAATTGATTATGCAAAGAGTCAAGTATCACTATGTACACAACTTGGTCGTATTTTTATTCCGTATCATAAACACATCGATTATTTAAGTTTAGATGTCAAATCAATCAATGCAATTCATATACCACCACGTGAATCTTGTACTGTTCAAGCCAAAGTTCAATTATCGTCCGCTAATACTGTATATTTTTCTCCTGCTGACACTATATCACTTGAAAGATCTGTTATAATGTTACCAGCCTTATTACACGTAAACAACTACACAACCTACTTGGAGATATACAATCCTCATGATACTACATGTACATTACCAATGAATACTCGTTTAGGCCACATTACTCATACACCACATAAACTTCAATCGTGTGTAATATATGATCCATCTCGTTGTTCGTCATCATGGTCGTCTCAACATCATGTCATTAATACAATCGACCTTAAACAAACACCATCTAACACCTGTAAAATCATTGATAAACTTCTGGATCATATTACCAAATGTCAGGACAAACACCAACTACGTCACATACTTGAACAACACATCAAAATCTTTGATATTTCACATGTTACACAAGCAAACACATCTGTTCCACACATTATTAACACCGGTGATAGTCTTCCAATCAGTTCAAGACCATATCCACGAACAATCCAACAACGACGTGAACTTCAAGCTGAAATTCAAAAAATATTGCAAGCTAACCAAATTCGTCCATCCATTTCACCATGGTCATCTCCAGTCATTATTCACAAAAAAAAGGATGGTGGTATTCGTTTTCTGGTAGACTATCGAAAATTGAATTCAGTAACAAAAAAAGATTCTTTTCCTCAACCAACAACTGAAGAATTACTAAA